CTTGATATCTTCGATATTATCGTTAATGGCCTGTGCATCGTCTGCAGTAGTGCGGGGCGTCCCTCTGGTGGTGGCTGATGTGAGGATGCGCCTTCCGTGAAAGGTAGAGTGGGGCCTGGGGGCCGGAGTTATTGATAACCCTGAAACTATAAAAAGAATCCAAAGATGTCATGACATCTGTTTCTTACACTTTCTGCAGCATTTACTGTGCTTTTCACTCATCAGATAAACCCTATTCCCCGACCCCACGAATTTGCATTAATTATGAGAATTATTCTCATAGTCAATGCAATATTGTATTTTCTGGTTACTGTTATCTTCGTCGATTTGTTTTGGTTTTTGTTTGTCTGTTATGTTTAACTGTGTTGTATTCTGGCTTTTAGCTATAAAGACTATGCTGCCGCAATTAAATGAGAAGTACAGTCTGATTGGCTGAGAGCCCGAGGTAAATAATCATCGTCAAATTGTCGGAGAGATCCTGAAACTTAAAAGATAATCGACAAGTGTTGCAAAATGTTTCCTTTCATTTCCCAGTCGTTCTCTACATGGCATCGCATGTAACAGTATTCAAACATTTTTCTCTATCCTCTCCTCCTCTTTATTATTGCACTTATTTCTTTTGCTTTTTGTCTAAATGCTTTTTGTTTTCAATTTCTCAACAAATCATAATTTCTTTGTCAGTCAAACCGAAAACCTCTTGATTGCGCTGATGCAAAAAAAAAAGGCTGTTGCGCCAGAAAAATGAACGCGAACGAGCAGAACACGCGCAAATTCAAAATAAAGGCTATCCTTACCTTCGCTGTAGCTGAAACAAATCAGTAACCAAAACAGAATACTGATAAAAACTTTTTCCTTCTTCATAATGGACGCTGAGTTAACCATACGGCAAACGCAACATTCTCGCAAAAAAGAAATAAGCCAACTAACTTGCTTGTCGTCATAGAGACTAATTACACTCATTAGTGACGTGAAATGTTCGAGCGCGCGCGCCTGAGTGGCGCTGCCAACTGTCAATCTTTGAAACACGTGACCCTACAGAATGTGGTTACAAACGACATCCTCATTGACAATAAACTTGAAGTTTTGAAAATTTACAACTGTTTGCGCCAAAGTAGAGAAATTCAGTTGAGACACAAGCATCACTTCCTGCAGATAGCGTACTAGGCTCATAGTGATACTGTAGCGATCACGAACAAAAAAGATTGATGCGAGATAATATATAGATTTAGGCAAGTGCATGAGTTAAAGCCAATTATATGAGCCCCACATCAAAGACAATTAATTGACTCCTTAGTTAGGGCTTTTTGCATTTCGCAGGCAAGAGAAAAATTTTAGTTTCACGTGACTTTTCTTTATGAAAGAAAATTCTCGCGCTGATCTGAATCCATATGACTGTCCCGCACGCATTCTTCAACAGCAGAAAAAGTTTTTTAATATTCATCGATGAGCCAAAAAGCCAATGTAGTCTACCTCATCTGAACCACGTAGATCAAAATTGCCTAACAAGAAATGTCGCATCATCTGTCACTTTCATATTGCTAACAGAGGGCATTTTTCATTACTTTTGGTGATTGCCCCGGGAAAAATTTATTGAAATTAAAAATATTAAATAAGGTTTTATTTTGTCTAAAAGTATTAGAATTTCATTGATGAATTCACTGCTTTAGTGTTTTTATACAAAAACAAAATTTCATTCAGCTTTTTCGTGACTTTTATAGTGAACACTGAAATGGCTTCCCACGAAATTGCGTAACAGTATGCGTTTTTGCCTTCTTGATAAAATAAACTTTCGCTCTCTCTGTTATGAGCAAGTAATCGCATGTTTCTTTGAAAAATGAAGGATTGATGTAACTTGTGTTCTCCGCAGTCGCACTGAGACTTCCCTCGTAGCGACTCAGTCAAATTCTGCAACTTCTGAAAACATAAGCTATATCAATCCTCAATTTCACTTTATCTTATTAATAAAACTAGATGATATTTAAAACTACGGTGGCCCATATCTGCAAACACATCAAACAAATATCGAAACATAACAGTATTATCGAAGCACAACACAACGTCATCGGAACACAACACGGTATTATCGAAGCACAACACAACGTCATCGGAACACAACACAGTATTATCAAAACACAACACAATACATCGAAACATAACTCAGTATTTGCAAAACACAACGCAAATCTCCCAAAACACAACACAATATTTGCAAAACACAACACAAAATTTTCCCGATTACGTATTGCAGGATGTCAATATTATACAAAGTATAAACCCATCATTGCTCAACCGCTGACATGCTTTGAACTTTCCCGCCATTTTTGTTTGCCATTTTGCCATTTTGCTGGAAAAAATGTTTTGTGCTGGCTGTAGAGCTGGTTTGAAATCTTTTTCAAAATTTTGCCCTTTTTGTTGACAAAAGGTAGAAAACGACTCTAGTGCAAATGTAACAGATGAAGGTGCAACAAAATGCGCGAGCTTCAAAAACTATGCTGCAAAGAAAAGCGAAGAAAGGTCGACTCATTTTCGATCAAGTGGCTCCAAGAGAAGAGGGCAGAAGAAGAAAGAAGAGGATCCCTTCGCGCTAATCAATATGGGCCTGATGTGATTTATTGGCCCAGATGTGAGAACTCCGAACCGTGGCAAGACATTGCCCTTGGAAGTAAGAAAGGATTCTGGATATGCAGAAGTCTTTGCAGAGGCCTTAGTGAAACGCCAGGCTCATGACCAGGCATTTGACTCGAAGAAGGGCCGGAAACTGGTTTACCCAGATAGACAACTGGCCATGAATCTTCCAGGTCAGTTAGAAAAAGAGTTCACTCTACGAAACTACCAGAAAGATTTAGGTAAACCTTACAACAGAATTACTTTGTACCTGTGCCCAGAAGAACCGGAAGACGAATTTATATTGGACAGTGAAACTGAGACCGAGCCTGACACTCAGGGTGTTAGGGTAAGATACTTAGTCACTCTAAACTATTTATGCCCCTGGGTTTTTTGGGCCTTAAGAACGAGAAAAGGAGGAAGAGGAAATTATACGAGAGGGGAAATTAAATTAGCTTTTATTTGGACACTATACTCATTGCAGAATGTCAAAAGCTATATCCTTTTTCAATATTTTTTTCAGAAGCCTAAGCTTACATTATTCCAGTTTAACATACTCTTATCTTCATTATGAATATTAAGTGGGATCCTATACTAGATCATTACCATTATGTGTGTTTCTTGACAAAACTTGACCTAACTTTTATTTAGAAAAACTTAACAGATTGTACTGAAGTTGAATAATACAGAAGGAAAACCCCAAATTGTGTATCTGAGGCCTTACAATCAAGGTTTTCCATGACAAATATTTAGTTTCAGTAGTGATGCAGATCACTACTGAACACAGAAAGAGAAAGGAAAATTTTCCCAGGGAGCATGACATGATCTGAGATAGAAAATGAAAAGGTTTACTATTGCCTGTTATTTTGAACTTGTTTATTGTCCATCATGCCCTATTGAAATTGCTTCAAGGTATATATAAAATTTTCTTTTCAGTGGAATTACTTCTTAGTAGATGAGACAGCTTTTTAAATAATTAATTAGCTTTTAGTATCATATTTTTATAGGAGAAACAGTAACAACACCTCCTGATACAAGTGCACAGAAGTCAAATTCAAATTCAAGGTTGTCATTTCATGAAGATGAGAGAGCCAAAAAGATAAAAGCTAAGAAACTGAAAGTAGTTGAAGAGGTAAAAATTCAAGTAGGAGTTATGGAGGAAGCAGATGGCCATTTGAAAAAGGTAAAAGGCAGGACTCTTCCGCTGATGGTTCCCACAAATGTCACTGCTGGAGAACTTCTCAAAGCAGCAACTACAAAACACAGAAGATATTTCAAGCAGTTTAACTCACTGGAAAATTACTTCCTGCTCTATCTAGACCAAACTGTTGTAGACACCCTTCCTGGAAGTGCAAAGCCTTTTACACTTAACTGGTACAAGGAAGAACTTGGAAAACCTTTTTTCCAAGTTGTACTTCTGATTGAGTAGTACAAGAGACATGGATAATCTTAATGCAGCTTCTGATTCTGAGTCAGTGAGCCAGGACCATAATTTCTTACTAATACGGGCATTACAGTGGAAGAATCACAGGAAAGAGGTGTCTCACAAAAGCCCACTTATGGCACTACCAGTAATGATGTTGATGCAAAGGCTTCCCACCCTGCCAGAGGAAACAGTACCTGTCCAACCTGCTCTAGGGTATTTCCTCTGGAGGAAATTGAAATGCATGCTGACCTCTGTGCAGACTCTTGGACTGACCCTGTAGGAGAGCTTTACAAGGATGGCCAAATAGAAGAATACCTGGAGTCAGAAGAAACATCTTGAGATAAGCCTGCATCTGAAGGTAGTGAGCATGAAGGCAACATGTTGTGGCTTAAAGAAGTGGTGAAAACACTCCCACAAAATTTGGATTCTGGTAAGAAGACCAGGATAAGTATAACGAGGAAATGCATGTTTCAGGATTACATCGAAGAAAGGAAAAAGAAATGGTTCAATTCAAGACAACCACTTAAGGTGACCTTTAGTGGAGAACCAGCTATTGAAGATGGAGGGCCACTTCGTGAATTTTTCACAGGTTTGTTATTAGATAGACAGTTTACACATAACTAACCCCAGTATAGAATTTGTGGTTGCCCTTAATAGCCAATAATGCCCTTAATAGCCAATCCAGTCTGCCTAACAGATGAACTTTATTGATCTAACTTCTAGATAATAAGAATTATGTTAATAGTACTTTTTTAAAGCAAGGGATAATTTGGGAAGCACACTTATTTGCTTCCATGTAATGCATACAATGTATAGGAAGTATTACAGTCAGTCCTTTTCATAACTTTAATTTTTTTCTATTGAACAGAAGTACTCAAACACATCCAGCAGCACCTATTTCCAGATGGAATGCCAGTTAACAGCATGGCAGCATTGGCTAATAATGAGTTTACAGTAGCTGGAGAGTTAATGGCAGCCTCTGTTGTCCAAGGTGGTCCTGCTCCATGCTCTTGTCAAAAGAGGCTTTTGGCTATGTAGTAGATGGCATTGGTAGTGTATCTATTGACGACTGGATTCCAAAAGCGTGTAATGAGAAATACAAAGGAGCTATTGAAGAGGTAAGAACAATCAGTCACTATGTGAATTATGAGGATAAAAAAGTCTCCTTTTCACTCGGCCTGTCCTATAAGAATTTATTTAAAATACTCTAGTGTTCTGCTTTATTAATTATATTTTAGGTAAGGAGCTGTAGCACCGATGAAGAACTGAGGCAAGTTCTTATGAAAGATGACATCCTGGACATTCTATCATTTGTAGGCTACAGAGGTGGGTCATCAAAGGAAACAATGAGTTCCAAGGAATCAATATCAAGGTAGTTATTGTGACTCTGACTATATCTTGGCTAGGATTTTAGTTAACGTCAATATATTTGACAGAGAAAGCTAAATTAGTTAATAACATCAGGTGATAATTTCCTTTTTAAAACTGGTTGTTTTGAAATCATAGTTTTTGTAACAGCAACAAATTGTATGGTTTATGTCATTTGGTATAGTCAAGGTCTTCCTTCCTTCCAGGCCTTAAGATACAGATTTCAACATCTCTATGTTGCAAAATTTATCTCATTTTAGGTCTATTAATTGAAGCAGAGATCTTCAATTTATTACACCATAATTTGTACAAAATAGCTAATAAAAGATAACTTAATGCAAGAGCTTGTCTTTTTGATAACTTAAGAAGCAAATTTTTCATTTTCTAGACCCAATGCCATGACAGAATTTCAGACAATCATCCCAATGTGAGATCAACCAAGGATGAGCTTGGAGTCATTTTGCCTCCTTGAGGAAGTACGAAG